TGCGTGCACCTTAGTGTTATCGGATACAGCGACGACTCGGTCGGGGCGCACAAATCGCACGTGATAATATCCGCCTTGCGACAACTATCGTGTTGGTTCACCGCAAAATGGTAAAGGCGCGAAACCGTACCGAGCTGCCGACTATTCTCCAAACTCAGCTCTGCATAAACAACGAGATCGCAAAAATAAGTGTGTCAGCTGCGGGAGCGAATAGCGGACTAGTCAGCCCGGATCGGGAGCGGGAGCAAGAGGCTGTTTTCGTAAATTTATGACATGACATGGGTGTTTTTTGGTGACGTCGTCGTTTCCTGTTTGTGACGACCGATAGCGACAGGGCCGTACCCTGGATACAAAGCGAATCCTCTACATACCGCCCGTCTCGAATGTTTACATTCGACATTAATGTGACGAACAGTTGGTGTCACGTAAGGTGGATCGAGAACGATCTAAGATGGTTTGATCGTAAATATCTATAGCTATAACAAGATAACGGAAACATTGAGATTACGTAGAATTATTATATGTACAGTGAGTTTAACCTTGCGAGCCCGCGCTATGGTTCGGGGTACCATTTACAATTTGTCGCCCGTTGTTATGCAACAGCCTGACCGACTGCGACACCAAGAATAAGCAAACTCACATTACTGTTATACAGTTCGTCAGGCAATTTTATTCAAAAAAAAGGTGATGACGGGGCTAACTTTAGTCGCCTGACATGTTGTCTCCGCCCGCCGTGGCGGGCGCCGCTTCGACCTCTTGGTTGATATCGACCGGTAGGAAGCAAATTTTAGCTATGGGTCGTGTGTATTCTGAGCGACTAGTTCGAACTGTTACGACGCGAGTTAAACCACCGCTGCCATGATGGCATTTCCGAATCCTTCCGAGCTCCCAATGACTCGGAGGGGCTAACGAATTGCGCACAAGTACCAATTGGCCTTCACGGGCCAGACGTTGCGCGACGCGCCATTTTGGGCGTTGCTGAAGGGTTTGCAAGTAGTTGCTTACCATGACTTCCAAAAACCTCAGTGATCTGTCGCGTTAATTGCCAGCGCGATAGGCGGTTTTCGTTGTAGTCGAGGA